TATATATATATATATATATATAGTTTTTAAAAAATATATAGCTATTTATTTGTTTTAAATTTAAATTCAAAAAGAATAATTAATTATTAATCAACTTAACTAATTTTGTCCTAAAATTTGACAATTGTTAAATTTTTATTTTGACACTTGGCATCATCCCAATAATTTGCTTCTTCTATTCTATATAGACAGATTTTTTCAAAGTTCAGATTTTTGGTTGACACCTTAAATCGTGGAGGTTATAACTGCCACAAATTATATTAAATTTCAGTATTTTATGAACCTTCACAATATGCTGCAATTTGTGAAGGTTATAAAAAACCCCTACAATAAGACCGTCACAAAAAGAATTATACAGCGGCAATTAAAAAAAACGCCATAGAATAATCTTACAGTGGGGTTTCCTATGATCCCCACAAATAAACCTCCACAATTAGGCTTATTTCTTGTAGTGAATGGGCCGACTAAACATAGTTAAAAGCTTAGATACCCTTTTTTTTTTTTTTCCAAGGATAGCATCAGGAAGAGAAAACACAAGGAGGTGGTTAACCAACTAGTCTATGGCTAAAATGTTTTAGTTGCCTTTGATACACGTAACCTTGTGGACAATTCCTCATCCTTTGTCTATGTGCAATGGAGTCAGTTGTATTCCAAGGAAAATATCACACACGACAGTGCCATTTTGCCAATTTGCAAGTGCCATTTGCTTCTTACTTCCATTGAACAATTAGCATTATTTGCTCTCCCATGGTAGGAAAATTTGCATATTTTGTTTTCATGCGCACAGCTCTCTTCTTTTGTACCAACAAAAAGGGGAATTACCCATGTTTTCTTGTACGCGTAGTTTAGCTGAAAATGAGAATCCTCTGTTGTCGTTGAGCCATTGGTTTTTCACTGCGTTAGCCCAACATTGTCTCACTATTTTTATTGTTACAATTATTGACAACGACAGTTGACATGCAGGTCGAGAAGAACACTGTTTTCTTCCAAAAACAGCAATTGCTTTTCGCCCCTGGTGGGAAAATACTGGGGTTGTGGGAAAATTGCTTGCTTGTTGTTGTTTTTCTCCCCCGGTGCCTCGTGCTTATAAGGGATAGAGATAGAATCCAGTAACTTTTGTTAAAGGGATATATCAATGTACAAAAATTTATTAAATATATACACATATTAAATTTAAAATTCGGTTATTAGCATTTGAAGTTATCCTAACAAAATTCAAAATATATAAAGTTTGAAATCCTAACTCCGCTTATCCACTGCTTGCCGAGTGACGAGGGAGAAAGAAGTAATACCCACTTGTCTTTGTAATCAATGTAGAATCTTTTGGTTTAGTTGGTTTAGAGCAGTTGACAGACATAAACTGCCCAAAACTATTTTTAAGTGCTAAAAAAAGCAATTACATGACTAACACCGATACTACATAGTAGTAACAAATTTTAAAGTATCTTTGTATGAAAGGGACAATAGGGAAAATGGAATAGAAAGTGACTCAAGGAGTTTTGTTTTATAAAAAACATTTGTCAAATCAAAAGTGCTAAAACGATGAAAAATAATAAATTAGAGATAACCAACCTATGACATTTCGTTGATTTTAACTTGTAAAACACGTTCTTAGTTAATCACTAGAGTCTAGATAAGTCAAAATATGCTTATAAGCTGATACTGAAGTACAGTCAAACCACAATTTAACATCCCCGTCTGTTTCGAATAGAACATGAGATTTGGTTTTGGAAAAATTTGACTTTTATAAATAAGTGTTGTTATATAAGGATGTTGTTATAGAGAGGTATGACGGTATAAATTTAGCCAAACACCCCAATATTGCGCCCTTTTTTTCCATAGCAATTTAGCAACCTTTTCGCTTATCCATATCAAGCGTCATCTAGCTCCAACAGGGTCATAATCCACCAAAATCAGTTATGTACTCTTTTTAATTAATATAATAACACAAGTATTTCCAGTTCAAGCAATTCCAATTATGATGTCAAATCCTCAAGGTAATCAATGTATGCAACACAGACATAACTCAACGTCTTAACTACCAGAACATTACATATATTAATTGTTCGTCTGCATCTTTGTTTATGCATAATATCCAAAAGCATTGTCCAGATCATAATATGCAGCGTAGTTTCCATCAAACCCCCTAAGATCGGATGTAATCTTTTGAACAGTGACAGGAGCCAGAATTTTCACCATGGGGTATCAAAATATAAAAAATTAGATATACTGAAAAGTTAAAGAGTAACGTATAGTAAATATATACAAAATAAAAAAAAATCTAGCAATACAGTGTAATTTTCCGGTGAAGCGGTATCGATGGATACCCCTTGATTGAATGTGGCTCTGCCACTGCTTTTGAAGACCAGTGATGATATGACATAGAAATCTCCACACAGATATGTACTACTAGATAAGAACGTAGCAAAACTTGATATTTTAAGCATATTTGATAATCACCATTTTTACTGACGATATTAAGATGTAAGCAAATCTCTTAATCTGGTTGCTTCACAGGAAAATTAGAAGCATCATATACCCAACTCAGGGAAAAAGCGAATACTACTGAAATAGTAGCGGAGGCAGAATTTTTCACCACGGGGTCATATCTACAACAACAACAACAACAACAACCCAGTATAATCCCATTTAGTGGGGGTCTGGGGAGGGTAGTGTGTACGCAGACCTTACCCCTACCCTGGGGTAGAGAGGTTGTTTCCAAATAGACTCTCGGCATCCTTCCCTCCAAGAACTTACCACCTTGCCCCTGGGTAGACTCGAACTCACAACCTTTTGGTTGAAAGTGGAGGTTGCTTACCATCAGAACAACCCTTCTTGGTTGGGGTCATATCTACTATATACATAAAATAACTTGACTTGATTCTTCAGCGAAGGATGTTCATCCGAACCTGCATATCGTCGATTAACCCCAAAAGCTAAAGTCAGAGTTTTTTTAGCATTTCCTACATATCAAAGTAGTCCAACTAACATACAGTGTCAGTCAATAGATTATGCTCGTTTATCCTGATACTAACAATACCAGATACCAGACCAAAAGTTGAGACATTGTATTGAGAGTCCAGGTAAAAGGATGAATTGCAAACTTGCATACACGTGTGTCCCATGTCACAATGTACCATCTCCAACGTGTGGGTCTCAACCCCAACTTCTCAACTTGACAAAAAAAGACAACTATTGTCCTTTGTAATTTTCTCTATGTACTTTCTCTTCTCAGCCTACCTGAAACCCCTTCTTCTGATCCAGCTTCCAACTCAGGAAAGATAAGTAGTCTATTATTATTTTGATTTCTTTGTCCAATACCATCTTTCATCAGTATTAAACCCTTCATTTACACGTACAAGTTTCTCCAAAAAAATCTGTTTTCTGATAACTGAACTGCTTTGATTGAAATCTCTCCGGATAGTTCAACATGAAAGTGAGTTCAAATATTATTTTCTATATGTGGAGACTCATATAGTAACCTTCTAATTTCATCTTCTTGCAGTTACTAGGTTGGATGCACTCTAAACTAAAGCAAAAAGGCAATGAGCCAGCAAATAATACTCCCATAGTAGGTAATTTTGCACTTCTCTATATTTCAGCTCTTCTGAATTTCCTCTGCTATGCTCTGTTTTCTGTTTTCAATTTAAAGGTGTCAAACGGGTCGGGCTGGCTCGGTTTCGAACCGGCCCTGACCGACTTTAGACCGGACCAGCCTGTGCCGGGGAAAATTTTAACACCGGTTAACCAGACCGGTACAACCCGGTAAAGTTTTGTCATTTGTGAACTGGTTAAACAGGACCGGCCCGGATAGGTTCAACGGGCTAGTTCAATTTTTTTTATTTTTTTTAAATTTATAATCTTGACAACGGTCAACCGCCATTTTTACCCTTGCCCAACGGCTAATTTGCAAGAATAGCCCCTTAAGCCCGGAACCATTTCGGTTCAAATTTTCACCGGTAAGGCTCGGACCCGGTAAGACCGGTATTTTGAAACCGGTAACCGGACCGATATGGAGACCAGCCGGTCTACTTTTCCTCTGGCCCGGCCCGGCCCGGGCCCGTGACACCCATAGTTTTCTTTTCCACACAAGAACTGATAAATAAATCTCCTTTGTTATGATCTCCACTTTCAGAAAATTCCATTACATCTTTCTCAGTTTACAAGGAAGTTAAAAGCAATGGAGCAGAAATGGAACCATTTGATGAACTCTTTCCTGGCTTTTTGGCAATTGGTACTCTGGGAGATTATCAGACAACTAATACTGATCCTCCAACTCCAACTTTTCCTCTGCCCTTTGATCATAGTGAAACAGACATAACGGAGAAAGAACTGAAATTCATAAATGATGAGCTTGAGAAGTATCTTGAAGAGAAAGTGAATAAAGTTGCTTATGAGTCATCAGAAAGCATCATTACCCTCAGTGACAAAAGAGCAGCCCGGTGTAGTAAGCTTCCGCAATGCGAGGGGTCCGGGGAAGGGCCGAACCGCAAGGCTCTATTGAACGCAGCCTTACCCTGCATTACCCTAAGTGACAATCACATTGAAACAGGAGCTACTGAATGTTATAGCAATATGGAAGAATATCCTCTCCAGAAATATCTCTTAGGCTCTTCAATTGAATTGCTAGCAGAGGTAATCCTTGAATTGTGCTACCATCTTATCTAAAAGCTTAAACGGTTACAAAGTATACACTTTTATTTACTTAGTTATGTCTTTAACAGGTACAACAACAAAAAGGATTCATAGAAGAGCTCTTTAAGCGGACGAACATAGTCCAAGAAAGTCATGTGGGAACTCATGATGGAAAAGAGAAGAAACAAGCCAAGAGAAAACATGCAGTGGATTTCATGAAGAAGATGTTGCAGAACCTGCACTACAAATCAAAGAGCTCTACTACAGCTCATTCTAAAGGAAATGTCAATGGATCTGTTTCAAGCAAGAGAAAACTCCCTCAGGTTAGTACTGATTTTAAGGTCAGGAGCTATAAGAAAATTACTCTTCAAAATTATGTTAATCGGAAAGGCTTGCTCTTTTATAATCTTGAGCCGAAGGTCTATCGGAAACGGCCTCTCTACTCCTCCGGAGTAGGGGTTTGGTCTGCGTACACACTAGCCTCCCGAGACGGTCAGACCCCACTTGTGGAATTCTAGGCTGTTGTTGTTGCTTGCTCTTTTATAATCAAAGGACAAATAAGCTGGACGTCTCATATAGTTAAAACTTGAAACCAATCATATGCAATACTTGAGTCACATGTCATGTGTATTCTCTAATAGCCTTATTTTATGGACTAATAAAGTATATTTTTATAGCTTTCTATTATGTTAAGCATATGAGTTAATACCAAACTGTGATTTTGATCTACTATATATGTGCAGGTCCTTAAAATGTTCAAAAGGAAAGTTCATCCTGAGGGATTAATGAATGAGAACATACTACAAGATAATGAGACAAGCAATATTTCATGCAAAACTAATAATCTGAGAGCAAATAGTGAAGTGAACAAAAAAAATTCTCCTGCTGCCACTACAAAGAAGGAACTGAATGCCTTAACAGTAAACAGAGAACACTGGATTAAAACAGATAGTGACTGTAAGTAAAACGGCGCGCATTACACTCAATTATCTCTTATGTTGTCTGGTCAAACACAGTTATGTACTATTATCTCACTCTTTCCTTATTTTGAAATTTCAGATTTGGTGCTGGAGCTGTAAATGGCAAAATGTTCAAGAAAGAGTATATAATCCAGATACTCTGTGTACATGTGCAACAAAATAGTATCCACTAGTGAGCTGTCAAGTGTGTGCAATGTTAATATAAAGAGTAAATGAGTATTTCCTTCATTCTAGGTGTGCTACTGAAGTATGGAACAAATGAACTTTATTCATTAAGTTTGGTGAATTGTTGTCATGCAAAGAATTGTTGAGATAGTATTGTCTACTAAGGTGTTTTTTCTTCTTTTTAAATTTAAAAGTACTCCCTCTAGTCCATAGTAAGTGACCAATTTGCCTTTTTATTTTGGTCCAAAATAAGTATCCATTTATATAACCAAGAAAAAATTCAATTTATTTTTCCAAAATTACCTTATGTATGTATCCTTAAAAAGTCTTTTACTCCTCACATTAACTATGTTGCAATATTTAATTAAGGGCAGTTTAGTCACACTAACTGTTTTTGTCTAAAATTTACTATTTTCTTAATGGGTTTGCCCAAGACAAATTGGTCACTTATTGTGGACCGGAGGGGGTACTGTATATGTGTGATATTCGGTAAGACACTAAATGCGGTTGCATAAAACATGAAAGCCATTGGCACGTCCCAAACTATCCCCTAGACGTGATTGACACTCAGCTAACATCGGTCTGCTAGGCGAACCCCTTTCTCAAATGTTTAACCATTTACATTAACACTGGGAGAAAAATAAGAGCAGGCCTAAAAGTATTATTAGTAATCAAAAACGAAATAGTTAACACCAATATCTTAGTCAATAGATAGAAAAACCAACAATCACTCAAATAATAAAACTCTAGCGCAAATCCTACACTAAGACCATGAAGCATTTAACAGAGTAATATGAGTTTTACTCACGAGTATGCAAACCCTAAAGAAAAAGTAAATAACTAACACGAACTAAATAAAGCTGAAACGAAAGCCTCCACGAACAATGCAGTGGCTCACCTCAGCAATAGGATCCACTCGAACGAACTCGTTAGCCGCTAGCTCTATCTCCCGTAATGGTATCTGTTGCAGGTAAGAAGTGAATTATACGTAAATATAACCCAATAAGATTCTCGACCTGCCACTTTAAATACCCCTGGAACAAGTATTAGAAAATACAAACACACCACAACAAGAACGATATAATAAATACGTCGATTATATAATAACTCAATATATTTGTATCAACAGAGTTAATAAGAATTAACCAACCCAAGTAAACATATCTTAACACAGTACACATTAAAGACTTGTCATAATTGCAGTGAAAGAAATTAACCAACACCTTTACGAGTCCACAACGGCACCACAATGCCTCATATATGTAACATAGCATACATAGTGCTCACTTAAGTATACACAATACCTCAATGCCCTAAATATATCAAGAAGTATAAACAATGCTTGGGTGATGTACAAAGGCATATACAATGCCCCATGGTTCATAGCTGTATCAAACCATCAAATCCAACATTATGGCTCATAGCCGTATCAAACCATCAAACTCAATATCATGGCTCACATCCTAATCACACCATCAAACAACTTATAAAATAACTTTTTTAATATTTTTCATAAAATAATATATTCGTGGCTAGTAAAAGATCACCGATTCTGCCAAGCACGCACTTGTCCCAATACATGGATCGGGCAAATAAAATATATTTTTCAAGACAGGTTTTGAAAAGCAAACATTAAAGTTTAAAATCTTACTTACCTCGCTAACAATAACTTTTTCCAACCCAGCGACATCCAATACACCAACCAAACAGCCTCCAGTGACCTCAATCTATGTAAAATATTGATTTACAACATCAATTATGTTAATCTCTGCACAATTTTCAGGCAAGTTATATTCAAGGTCAACTAAAGAAATTCCTTCCATCAACATGGTCAAATCTCGAATAAATCATATTTTCGAGTTACCCACAAGTTAATATAGTTCAAATTTATAATTACTTTATTATATTGATGCTAATTGATAGGTTAAATATCAATTTTTTTTATATTTCAAGCTTAGAGCTAATTCTCAATATTCTACATCTTATACAATAAATTTTAAAGTTAAATCATATCTCAATATTGCAATCCAGCTCATTATTCAGTATTTAGCTCATATATATTAATATCCATGTCCAAAAGTATGAAAATCACGATGTAGAAGTTATAATACCTGTGAGCACGTGATTTTTGCCCTATATGAATTACTCCCATAATTCAAAACAAAATAATTTCTTTTCATTATCTGCAATTTTTGTGGATTTTGTGGCATTTTCTGTTAATTGTTTGCATTTGTCTGTGCATTTCATTTTGTTTAATTAATGAAAAATATAAAAAAATGTTGCATTTGCATTTAGAATTTAATTTTACATTTTTAGGATTAGTTGACAAATTAGTTGTTTTATAGAAGTGGGAAAATCACAAAAAAAATAGTTTATTTTGCACTTTTAATTTTAATTTTGAATTTCAAGTAGTTTTCTTTTTAATTTATTTCCTTAATTAATTATGATAATTATTATTTGGGTTTAGGTAGTGTTTTGATGGGGTAATTAGGTTTTAGGATTTAATTTGATTTTTAATTTAGTTTTGAAAAAAAAAATTGTTGAAAAAAATTTGATTGGAAAATTGGAAAATAAAAAGAATATATAGACAAATTTGGGCTGCCTTTAATTAAAATCCACACAGGCCCAAAACTTTTCCCCTTACCCGTCCAAAATGGCCCAAAACCCGTCCCAAACCCGGGTTCAACCGGTCCCTTCCCCAATAACCAAAACAGCATCGTTGTATACCTTTTTGATCACGACCGTGGGATCTCCCTAATCCAACGGCCCGGAACTGGGGAGGTAACGATATTTATATGTCCAAACGGATCCCTACCCCCTTCTCAGAACTCCCCCACACTTCATATCCCTCACCTCACCCTTCGCCTGAGACCCCTTACCCAAAGCCCTAACGCCGCCCTGAAATCCCACCGCCTCAAGCCGGCGGCGCCGGTCCCAATCAACACCAGATCAACATACCAGACTCCCCTTCACCTCCCCTTTCCGAATCCTCACTTCTTTTCTTTCAAATCTGTTCGAAACCCCTCGAATTTCAAATCAAAGGAGAAACCCTAGCGCCGTCTTGTTCTCTCCGGTGGCGGCGCCACCTCTGTTCAACCCAAAATCTACACCACGAAACCTTCTTCACCTCCTCTGTCCCAATCCCTAATCCTTTTCCCTCAAATCACCCCAGAACTCTTCGAATTTTAGATCAAAG